TCACTGTGATCTGTCCACCATGAGAGGACAGTAGGCTGATGGCCAGAGGCGGAGACAGAATTAATCAATTGAGACATCAGGTGCGCTGATTTACCTATTCAAAAATATGAAAGCGGGTAAATTGAACAAGCAATAACAAAGCTACCACTACCAATTTTCCAAATCGCTGGTCGTTTTTTCTACAAGTGCTATCCTCCCTGAGCCTGGCGGCGCCTCTGCGGTCCCACCGCTCTGGGAGTCTGGAAGGTGGAAGACGGACGGCTCTGAGCCCCGCGGGCGATCCGCCGCCGTCGGCGACACTCAGTTCTGACAGCGATGCCGTCCAGGAGGAGCGGGCTCAGCGCGTGTGTGTCCGGACCGCCACGCCTCCCCCTCAGCTATGGCACCTTCGCCGGCGTGCGGGCCAGGAGGACCTCCTTCCTCAATGTGTACGCCTTCCGCAGGTAGGCTGGCCACTAAATCACTGGGTTACCTAGTTCCAAACAGTGCGCGCTGCGTCGGTGACGGGATTTGAAGTTGTTCGGGTGTTCGTTGACCCTTTAGAGCACCTATAATGTTTGCGTATACCTCTTTGTTTCGTTTTCCATTGTTAGTGTAGAAAGTGACCTGTTTTGGCGTTTTGGGCTGATTTTATACGATTTTGATTCATTATGATTTTGCTGATTAAGTATTCAGGCGTCGTCTTAGCATGCATAAAATCCTATACAATTTTTTCTTCTTCCAGTACCTCCAGAACAGACTGCCGACTGGTATGGTTGGATTGAATCTGAACCGAATCAAACATGCTCAAAGACAACGGCATTCCTCATTCATCAGGCATTAACTGTGCAGTTTCTGGGGCGGTATATATCATAAGGGGGAGGTGGGGGGCTCTTCGGTAGATAAATGTGACCGCCCAGATGAAAACAGGGGAGACGTGATCTGTGTATCATCAGGGGAGCAAAAGATCTGTGTATCCTGATAATACATAGAATAGAAGCATCAGAGGGCAAGACAGACCATTGATTATTATAAAAAAGATAGCCGTCAACCAGCCCGGAGGCGACACTCAGTAGCGGCGGAACACCTTCAATTAATCCTCGCCGGCACAGGCCATTTTGAGTCCTTCGACGGCACAAGGGGGGGGGGGTACGATCCCCCTCGCGTTTGGCCCCTGATGGAGCTAGAGCTTTGCGGAAAAAAAACCGAGCGTGTTGCCCGTCACGAGAGGAAGTCAATGATATCCAATTTTAAGGTACAAGGTCATCGGTTGACCTTCCAGGTCAGGTAAAAATCGGGAATATCAGGGCCTGTTAGAAAGTCGTAAAGCGTGGCTGCTAAGGGGTTTTCCGGGGTGCTGATCACGAATATCGTGTTAGTTTTGATCACAGATGATGTCGTTAAGCGTTTAAACCAGGTCGGGTCAGGTCAGGTCAACCGGTAGGGGTCGTGACGGGTATTCGTAATACGTGTCAACCGCCTCTGACAGCTTCGTAACATGTTACGAAGGCACCAAAACTACTTCGTAAATGTTCAAATGGTTGCTAAATTCGAATTCAGCTCCAAAAACTAGCCTAGAAACATGTAAAACTCGAAAAAGTGAACCAAGGTCACCAAAGGTCAATGACCTGACCTGACCTTCAGGTGACCTTGACTCCCACCCTAATGCATGGGAGCAACATCAAAGCACATGTTTGAACGTTTGAAACCACGAAAAGCTTGCAAACGCGCGGCTAATGCGAGCCGACATACGTCGAATCGCGATTTCGGCCAAACATGGTCACGGAAAAGAGGTCACAGGTCAAAGGTCATTGGGGTCAGGGTCATGAAATTTTCAGGGTAGGTGTAAAATTGATCAATGCGAGGGTACTGAAAGTGTCGTCGCAATCGGCCGCTTTTTACGCGAGTTATTCGCGAAAAACCTTAGGGGGGTGCATCAACTGTTGCAACAACAACATCAACCCCCCTCCCCCTGTGCCGGCGAGGGTTAACCCGCGCCCGGCTGGGGGTCCTGTATTTCCACGCCCTGCTGGGGGGGGGGGGGGTGTTTGAACACCCCCCTTCTAACTCGGCTCCTGGGCCACGTAGCGATACGGGGAAGGCGGCGTTCGAAAGAGCGTCAAAAATAATGACGGAATCACTTCTGTCACTTTTTTGGTCAGGTCAAAGGTCAGGTCACCAAAAGTCATTGAAGGCAAAATTTCGCCGATTTCCAGGTCCTATGTCGACAATTTCCAAGAAGCCAACGCATAACTCGGGAATCAATAGAGCTACAGCGCTGCGGAAAAGCGCATTCGATAGCCCTTTTAACGCCCTTTCTGAATAATTCTCTCAGATTTGACCTAACGTCAACGGTTTTGCCTGCAGGGGGCAAAAACTGCAAAAATAGCCGATTTTTTTTGGAAGCAGTTTTTCTGCAATAACTTTTGACCCGAGCCTTGCACGAGCTTACTTTTACCGGCATCGTGTTCCTCTCTTCAAGACGCATCGAATGAACTATAACTTGACCTTGAAAGGTCAACTTAAAACTTTGACCTCAAGTCAAGGTCATGACCTGACCTGAAAGGGTCAGGTCATGATCACGTGACTTCTTACTTATTAGTCATAGTGTGACCTCTTACTCCTTAGTCATAGTTCTTTCTTATGAACCGATTTTATGTCTATTGTTCTTGTGATTTTATCTTGTACTCAATAACTATATACTCCTGCCGATTATAAATTTACCGTATTTATCACATTTTCTTACGTTTACTCTTATGTAGGTACTGTCATCTTGTGTATTGCTTGTGTGTAACTGACTTCGTCAGTAAAAGGGCGATGGGCCCGTTGGCGATCTAATAAATACAGAATACAGAATACAGAAGGGTCATGTTGCATATCAGTCGATCCGTATCGTCGAGCTGAGCACATCTAAGGCGTTTTCATCGCTCTAATATGCCTCTATCAAAAGTTATTTGCGAAAAAAAACTGTTAGATACCATTCGTTACCTGAGAGATGACCTCGGCGGCATAAACAGTGGTCACGGACACCATTTTCATGTTCAGTGTGTCTGAATGACTTGTAATTCACTGTTTGGGAGTGTTTATAATGTCGTTCGTCCAAAAGAGGCCCATTTCAATTTTCTCCCATTGACTGATAATGGGGAGGTCGCAAAATTGACCTGACCTTAGGTCATCGATATCAAAATTCTGAGATATACATTTTGTACATGTTATTGCTCTTAGCAACCGCTGAAAGTTTTAAAGCAATCGGTCACTCGGTGTAGCTATGGCAGACATTGAAAGTTTTTATGAGGTGAGGTCACTTCAAGTGACCTGGTGACCTGACCTTGCATGACCTTGGTCTGAAATTTTCACAACATGTGTAGAATTGATGTATGATAAGGTGTTCCAAAAACGGCGGCGCTCCGCGCCGACGTTTTTGGTATATTCGCGAAAAACCACAGGGGAGGGTGTGTGTGTGTGTTCAAACATCCCCTCCCAGCAGGGTGCGAGTTAAGGGGGGGGGGCACTGCCGACTTTTGATCCCAATTTCCATGCAACGCCCATAGGGCTAATGTTAAAATTGCAAAATCAAGGGGTCGCGGTGCTCCGGTGCCCCCCCCCCCGTTCCGCCTATGTTTTTCCTATCCCCCCCGGCTCCCTCATTGGCAGTATACGAGCGCCCTCGTATACGAGCGCCCTCATCGGGTCGATAAGCTCGATAGATTCAACACAAGGCTACCGTTAGTACCGTTTCGTGCTCGGTTCTGGCCCTAACGTTTCTCACACTTCAGCATGAAGCATCTTCAACTGGCTCCATTCAATCTAATGCTGGCCCCTCCTCCTTAGCCCGCGCACCGACGGGGGTCTGCGCCAACTTCGCACCGACGGGGGGGGGGGCGGATGACCGCCCCCCTGAGATCTCGAGAACGAAGCAAGATAGCGACAAGCGGTAAACGGCATCGGATACGCACGGTCAAGATCTACAATTTTTACAAAGGTCATTTTCAGGTCAGATCAAAGATGACGTCACAGGGGTCGAAAAAGTCAAAATGGCGGCGCAGTAGATATGGAGAGAGTTTTTCTCGAATAACTTTCGAATTAGTCAAGATAGGAACAAACTAAGGGCATCATCGTGATCCTCTCGTCAATCCACATCGAATGATATATATGTTGACCTCGAAAGGTCAAGGTCAAAGGTTGACCTCAGGTCACGTGACCTCGAAATCATCATGTATATCATTCGATGCGTCTTGACGAGCTGAACACAATGAGACCATCCGCGCGGCTGTATCTTGTTCCTGTACGGAGTTATTGGCCAAAAACCTTTGGTGACCTTTGATGACGTCACATGACCTCACAGCTGCCCAACAGCAAAACAGACCTCAAGGTAGTGAAGGTTGATCGTATATGAAGTCATGTATGGTATATGGGGCCATTCCGACCCGTTTTAGTGGTAAAAACAGGGAGTTGATTTTTCCCCCATTGACTTATAATGGGGAGGTCGCGAAATTGACCTGACCTTAGGTCACCGATATCAAAATTCCGAGATATACAAATTGTAGCTACTAATGACCTAATAATATCCTGCGACTTTCAAAGGTCTCCGACATCTACTGTAGCTCTGGCACGGTGACAAAGTTGCAAAAAAGTGACTTGAGGTTGGGTCATTCAAAGTGACCTGGTGACCTGACCTCAAAAGGTAGGGTAGGAGGTTCAAAATTGCACACCATGTGTAAAATTGATGAGGGAATAGTCGTACCAAATTTCGCGGCGCTACGCGCCGCGGTTTTCCCGCTATTCGCGAAAAACCTCAGGGGGGGGCGGATATCCGCCCCCCCGTCGGTGCGCGGGTTAGCTACGTTACCGCACCGCACAAACCACGCAGTCCTGAGAGTATCGTGTTGAACGAGCGCGTTATTCGTAGCGGTGAAGGTTTTTAGGATTTGGTAGCGCTACCAAATCATCGAACCTGCGCGCGCATATTTGCGCGACCTCGACGCTCGTGGCGCAGCAGTACAACAGTGGCGAATGAGTGGTCAGCTTTGTGTATGATCGTTCCGTGATATAGTGGGATAGGATATGTTGTTTGTGCGTGTGCAATCTATTTTTGCGATATGATAGGCAGAGCTACTTCTTATAAGTCTGTTCATGCACGTACTCCTGTTGATGTGGACTTGTCAATGAGATATTGCTGGAAACCTATAGTCTTCTGACTTCACATCCCAGATCACAAATTCCACTGCAACTTGAACTGAGAATATTTTCATGTGCAAAACATCTTCAAATAAAGGTGGGTGCAGTGTTTACTGCTGTATGTGTGGTTTATCCGTTTTCTGTGTAAGTTACACAGTTAATGTACTATAGTTGCTGTTCTATTCAGCTTTCTAACCAGTATGTTTTATTTAAATGTATATTTCCAGCCTAAAAATCTCAACTTCAAGGTTTTATTTTTAGTGCTAGTTCATTGTGAAAATTTTCCACATTTTGCCGTTCATGATAAGGCATTGCTAAATTGCAGTAACCTTGGAGGTGTACGGCTGGAACGTGTGTTCAGTATATTATTGCTCCCTTTCCTATACTTGGTATTAGAATTGTGTTATTGAAATAATGACCTGCTTGATTGTATTTAGGTGTGTGTCCCATGGTCATAACAATTTCATTGCTCCTTGTATAAAAAACTTACGGCTCGAAGTCGATCTTAGCTGACTGTTGTTAAAAAATGTAAAAGCTGATGCAAGTTTTAGGCTAGGCACAATTCTGATGCTTATTTGTAGGATAAAGTTATGATATTTTATCAATATTCTGGTAAAAAATCTAGCATTTATTTTACATTTCCATACTGAGCTTGCTGTGGCCTGGTTAGGTGTTGTATCATCGCAGCACCATTGTGCAGCAAATTATCTCGCAACTATTAATTTGACTTGATTAACTTTGTGATGATTGTTGTTACTGATGAGCATTCCTTTAGCCAAGAGTACAAATGAATTCTTGTCCTTTTCTCTTGATGGATATCATATTAATGCAGATGATGTTCACTTTCATTTGATAGTTACATGGAAATGGAAACAAGCTACTTTAGTCTGATCCTTGTTTGGGTTAGGGAATGCACTGACATCTTGCCTCTAATATCTGATAGAGGTATTGATTAATTATTCATGCTTTTCATAGAATCAATTGATCTTCAACTGAGCAAATATAAAAGATAAAAATGTTAATCTTTTATGTGGTCAGTCTGTGATGGTACTCATATGTACTGGCCTGTTTCTTGTGATAATCACCTGGTAGCGTTCTGGGGCTATGCATTTAGTGACATCAATCTACCATCTGTGATAGGTGTTAAAAATAGTAACTTAACTTATGGCTCTTGTTGGCTGAATATGTTTATTCTGTTTGTCTTTTGCCAACCTATTCAGTGGATTGTGTTAAATTAGGATTCTGAAAATGTCTGGGAATTTTATTGAAAAATCAGGTACCAAATATACGAGGGAGAAGTGATCAATGCCAATGACTTGGCAGCATTACATCCATAAGGATAGATGGGCAATGGACATAAACATTGCACACTACAGAGCTTTGTAAATTGTAATACAAAATAGATAAAGGCAGCGGTTGTGGGTGCATATCAAAAACGAAATAATTATCTATGCGACTTTCACAAGGTATCAGCGCACATAAGCTCACAACACCTTTGTTTACTACAACACTTCTAACACTGATATGGGTGTCATAAATCATGATAAAGTGTCATTGTTACATCGTCTCCACCATGTCACTTAGCTCAATGCTTTCAAATGGCTGACGTAAAGCTTGTCTGTCGGTCGCCTATTATCTTAATTACATTTTTGTGTATCTGTTTCTTCCATGTTGGAACGATATCTGAGACCAAGAGACCACGCTTTCACGCGGGGACCTGTTTTTACGGAGCGAGCGAAGCGAGCGTAGTCTTTCCTTAGATTAACGGAAATTTCTGAGTATGAGCGGCCGGCCGGCCGGCCGTGCGGACGCTTTTGCGAGGCTTATATCTCAGCAACCACTTGACCGATTTACATGCGGTAAATTTTGTAGGGTAGTTTCATTCCTTCTACCGAGTATTGGACTATTCCCGATGCATGTGGGTGACCCCTTATGCACGTGCCACGTGCAAAACGAAGAGGTGTCAGTTTTGTAATTGTTGCAATATCTCGGTAACTACTTGGCCGATTGCGCTGAAAGTTGGCATGTAGGTAGACACCCACTAGGCACTGCATATCCATGTGCCAGAGTTGGGGTGCTGCTGCACGTGCACACGTGCAGGGGTCGTTTCCAGATCTCGAGAACGGCTCGACCGATTGCGCTCAAATTTGGTACACAGTTAGGGACCGGTTAGTAGGGTGCCATGCAGAAGTCAGTCGGGACCCATTTTGCACGTGCGCACGCGCAGGGTGCCGCTTCCAGATCTCGAGAACGGCTGGGCCGATTGTGCTCAAATTTGGCACATCGCTAGAGACCGGTTAGTAGGGTGCCGTGTACAAGTCAGTTGGAGGTACCCCCTCGCAATTTCGCACGTGCAAGGCCCACCCTCTCGCTCGCTCCGTTAGTCGCCCCAAAAGGCGTTATACTGGTGGTACAGTGGACGGTGCTAGATAAAAAATAATAGGTAGCTGATAGCTCGAATGTATGAATGGACGGATTGACAGAGCCGAGGCCCACGTTAAGCAGAGCTTGTTGCGTAGACCCCGATCCCTACCGTCCGATCGCGCAATTCCGGGTAACGGGAGAATTCCAATGTCAACGTTTAGCGTGCCTGTCAAAGCCTGTCCCTCTACGGTCCGTCCCTCTCGGCTGAGCACAACTGATTGCGGATGCTTCACCAACCGCAAGCAACGGGTTATCCGTCCCGTCAGGAGCCTCATAATATCAAGCGCCGGATTGACTCGAACCTGGGCTCTCACTACCGGGAGTCCAACGATCTTCCAGCTGAGCTACGGGACGGACAAACTTGGGACGGACATCGGACTGAAGGCATTTTCGGGTCTTTATAAAACTGGGCCGCTCAGTTCTAGGTGTTCTGATTTGTTAATACTTACCAATGGTAATGTATCCGCTGTGAGTGTCTCAATTCTACGGATTGAATTCGTACGGTTTGGAGCTGTAATGTCCGAAAGTATTATCATCGCAATTGACATCATTTTCCAAATCCGGTATTATTGTTGAAAGTAAAGGTGTAAAGGGTGTTTGGTGAATAACCAATATCGAAGGGAAATGCCGGGATTGCCACCTACATTTCGTAGTTAAATTGTCTACCCAAGTCAGTTAAGCCGGACACAACTTATAAGCGTCTCGCTTCCGACAGCATGCAAGTTGTTTCTTGTGAACTGGGTGTAAGTTCAAGTTATCAACTTGTAAGCCGACGGAATCTGTCAGGTGCGCTACAGCACATGGGCTTAACAGGGTTTTACCTTCGCAGCGATCTACACACGGTTCCGGGCTTGTTGGAAGCCAACGCTGAGACATCGTTGCCGACTTCCTTTTCGCAAGCGTTCGAAAGATGGTGTCTCGATAATTTGACCGGAGTCTTCCCCAATTGTCGACTTTGTACCTATCTTATATTCACCCGAAAACAATGTGGTTTCGGGCTAAATTGCTTGTTCCACTCCTCTCGGCCATGTCCATGCATTTGGCCTAATGCTTATTGCTACTAAACCCTTTCAGCCATGGAAGTTCAGTAGACGTTCTTCAAATAGTAGTTCAAGGCAGGTCATAAATGACTAGTCTGATTTGTGGAGTGTGATGGCGTTTGCATGCCAGCCATCTGGAATATGTGTCGCTCCAGTCTCAGCCGAGACCACAACCCGTCCCGGTCGAGCGCCGGTGTTCGTGTGAACCCTTGAAGCAAACTGGGTACCGGATGAGGTCACTCCAGGTCATTGATCCGGATGATCTGAGGCATTTTCAAACTTTCAAGTGTCTGAGCTCGGCTGCTAAGTATACCGCCCTTCATCACCTGCTTTGTCGCCACTGTCGCCGACAAGCTAAAAGTTCCAGAGCTGCAACCGGTGATAAACCAGACAGAAGCTCTGCTTTGTGTTTATATCTTGCTGTTTGTTTCTTTTTTTTTCGGCAAAGGAGCTTTTTATAACGGTCATGTGGTAAGTGCCAAAAACTTCAGAATACGGATGTCTTTGCTCTTGCGAATTCTCCACGCACCATTAGATGGAAGACTGAACGGGACAATGTCTATTATTTCCTATTTGTGTCCGAACATAGGCCATTTACAGGCACATCTCGGTCTTTTTCTATGAAATGTGGTCCAACTAGGTATGTGGTTCAGACTGCCTCGGCTATCAGACTGAAGAAACCTTGGACCGTTGACCAGTGACCACCCTCTCTCAGGTCGGCGACCGTACCGCCGCGCCCCGGGCTGCCGGCTCTCCACAGCCAGAAGAAGTGAGGCCGGGCGCACCAACCATCCCAATGGCCCGCGGCAGTATTTACGGCCGCCATTAGCACTTCTTGTGGCCGAGGTGGGTCACCCGGCCCACCAATAGCCACGTGGGCACGCCGTGCGCGCGCGCCTTGTGATGTAACGGCTCCTCGTGTTAGAGATAAAGAACAGGTCCGGCACAACAGTGCGTTGATGATGTCTGATAGGCCGGCGAATGTTTCAATCCGACACCAATTACTACCGCCGACGGAGTCTTTTTGCTTCATTACAATTCCTTTTCGACGGAGGAACGTCGGGCGGTATGGACATCTATTGGCTCTGAGCGTCGCCCACGCATCGTCGACTGACGCACAGCTTTGATCCTGATCTGATTTCTGCCGTATGTCGATCATCGAGCCGCTCCGGCCGGTGGAGCGCGGCGCGGGGGCGTTGTTTCTGTTTTTGTTGCTGGGTGTGGGTCCGGGGGGAAGTCCCTGCGTTCCGGACGTTCCCGGAACTGGCCGGAGGCGCGCCATGGAACGGCTCCTCACCGGCTCCGGGCGGCGGCGACGCACGGCCAGGAGGAAGGCGCCGCCGCCGCCTCCGCCGCCGCCAGTACAGTGGCTCGGCAGCGACGCGGCGCGTCGGACCTGGGCGCGCGCTGTGTCCGCTCCGCTGGACGACATGGTGCTGGACCCGGGCGTGGTGCGTGCCATCGGCGCCGAGCGGGCTGCGCCGCTGTCCCTGCTCGGCCAGCAGCGGCGCTCCGGCTCCACGGGAGGCGACCAGGACGGCAGTGACTCGGGCTCCTCACAGGGCGAGCGGCGATGGCTCCTCAGACGGTGGGTTTGCTGAACATCAGGTCGTACTTGGATCGAGTTCACGGC